TATTCTCTGCCAAAGGACAGAGGTAATCCAGAAGAAGCTAAAGGCATGCTAAGTGTAGTGGAGCTACCACAGCACTGCTGAAAAGTGAAGTCCAAAGATTGCTTGTCTCTGTATGTGGTTTGGTTCTACAGGAGGGCATGGCTTGCAAGAGGAGAAGTGTGGATAGTTGCAGTGAAACTGAATACAGAGCTAGAATGGCTGGAATTTATATTGTGCTTTTGGCTTGTTGCCTTTGCCTGTACATTTGGTTGAGTAGTTCATTACCTTTTCTAATTGCTATTTTAATAACTCAGTTGCTTTGCAAATGTTGGTCTGTATAAATCATTTGCTCTCTTTTTTCTTGTCTCTTTCATCTGCACAGCTTTCGTCCAGCTTGTGCTTGAAGATCTTCAAGCCTAACCTGTATCATGAAACCAAGCAAGGAGCCACTGAGTATCAAACTGCCAAAGAGTGTTTATTTAAAGCATTCCTGAAGGCAGGACTTGGAGCATGGGTGGAGAAACCCATAGAACAGGATCAGTTTTCACTCACAGTCTAATTCACAGTCTGCACGTCAGTTTGGAAGGGGAGTCGCTTTGGAAATCCTGGTGTCCAGCATTGCTTTCTGGCATCTCCATACCTGTTGAAACATCTTTTTACTGTTTTTTCTTTTTCAAAACTTGGTAGTAACTGTTTTGGTTTTGCCTAAGTATTGAAACTGAATGATAATCTGACACATAATTGTGTATTTTGTTATGAGAAAGTAATTTCTGGTGTATTTCTAGAAATACTTTTACTGTAGAAAATCTGCAGTAAGGCTGTCTGTCCTTACAGTATACAATGACTCATTTTTTCTGGGTTAAATTAATTGCTTTTTTAATTTGATGTCATCAAGTACATGAAGAAATAAATATTTATTTAGATTTTACACCACACTTGTAAGAAGTAGCTTAATTTTGTAAGAGGAAAATAGGCAACAAAGATGATTCTTCTCCTCTTTTAAGTTGTTTTTGAATTGCAGATGTTGCTAGCATCATCTACATCATCATACATGCTAGATGTTGCTAGCATGTAGCTAGACCACTGGGCCAGAATGAAGTCTGGACAAGTAGTTTTCCCCACTTCCTTGCTCTTTAAAACCAGATGCTGAGAAATTCATGTCTTTGATGTATGTATTTATTAGTCTATGATCCCATTTTTAACATGCAGCTTTCTATTCTGGTTTTAAAAATATATTAACCTCCCATTTACACACATTGTGAAGTCTTTTTTTTTTTTTAAACCATTGCAAACTGGAAACAGCAAAATGATTATTTGTAAGTTAAGCAGTTTAGTCTATAATGTGCAGAACTCTGTTTAGATGTAGGTGATTTGTATATCCTTTGAACTCATTAGAGTTACAATAGTAATTACAACATGACAACTTAGGAAAATTTGCTCATTTTGAAGTCACTAAGCTTGAATGGCCAAAAAAAAGTCATTCAGTGAACATTAATTGTTTTCTTCTTAAAGAAATGAAAAGCTCTTGTATGGACAAAAAGGTTGTTAAAACTTCTCTTCTGCTTTCATTCAAGTTGTTATGTCCTTTTCAAGATTTCATTACCTTTTGGCTTTACATGTGTGATGGTCTTCATGAAACTAATTGGGTAAGTTGCTCTTAAATGTGGTTTAATTTGCTTTGACAGTTAGTTAGGTCTTCTTCATAAAGGTGTAAACACTTCAGCTTTATGTAAAAATGTAAAATAGAAAGAAAATATTTTGAGATTTGTTTGATTAGCTGGTGTACTAAAGGCACTATTAAAAACTCTTTTTAGTATATGATATTTAGGTGTGGATTAGAGAATGTCTGAAACCAGTTATCTGCTCCCAAAGTCTATGTCCAAACCCATCCTGTGGCTCATACCTTTTCAAGTGTCATGCTTGCTTTTTGGAAAGCCCCTTGGTGATCATCATTCTTTTGCAAACAGTGAAGGAGATGTTCCTTGACACAGAAGTTTCTGACACAAAACCCAAGCCAAGTGTGTCTAAGTTGAGGGGCCCTGTCCATCAGCTCTACATCCCCACTTCTTGCCTGCGCTGCCCAGGACATCAGATCCATGGACTGGTCCATACTTTAAAGTCAAGGGTTGTTTTGAGACCTGCACGGGGTCAGAGATGCAGCTTTGGGTTGTGTTGGCACATTTGTGGGGGAAGTGAAGTGGAGCAGAGGAATTCTTCAGCCAGCCTTATGGCTAAAGCCTTTGCCTTCTGAAGCTGTCACTGAAGTTACCATACCTCAGACCAAGCATCTCTTGGGGGGTTACCGACTACTTGGACCACTGGAGACTTTGTAGAAAGCACTTCTGGCCTATCATGAACGTCAAGGAGACATGCTGCTTTGTTATTTCCCAAATAGGAACCCGATTTCAACTTCAAAAAAGGTCAGGCCTGATAAATCACTAGTGTGTTAGTTTCAGCCTCTGGATTAGTGTCTTGGCAGTGGTGCGTGGAAATGCAATTGGTGTGCTTTTGATGGTAGTACGGATAATAGCAAGCACTGCAGGAAGGCAAGCAAATCCACGGATCCCTTCAGAAAAGACTGATGCTTCCAGAGGCTACCAAGTTTTCCAGGTGCCAGTGGAACAAATGTGCGCTGTAGTAGACAGACTGTGTTGATTCAGCTTTGTTGGCAGCTTAAGCTGTACTGTCTGTTTCTGCATTACAACCGGGAGTGCTCTCATGGCCTCTGCCAGCCCCACAAAGCAGGAGGGCAACAGTTTCTGAATGCAGTCTGGGCCTTTGCCATTGTCATCTCACTGAGGTTCAGACTGACTTATTCTAAAGCTAAAAGTAATCAAATGATTTTTGGTCAGAATTTGCAAATGCTTGGGCGTTACTATTGAGATCAGTCCCATCTTGTGAATGTTGCAGAAATGCCTTTATGGCTGTAAATAAATCTGTGCATATATTTTGCAGGATTGAGGGAAAGCTGGTTGCTCTGTGTGCATTTTTGTGGGATCATTAGCATTAATAAGTGAGACACACATTTTTAAGGGACTCGATCTGTTGATAAATGAGGTCTGTTTATAATTTCAAACAAATAACTTTTACCCATCTTTCTCAATTACTCAATGAGACGTTGATCTCTCTTTGGATTTTTTTGAACACTAGGAAAGTATTAGCTCAAACTATTTTTTTTACTAAGTCACAAATATGAGCAATATATTTAAGTATTATTATAGACATAGTTTTTTAAGCTGTTCAAATGAATAATTTTAATGAAACTGTAAAGGAAATCTGTTCCATGTCACAATCTTTTGATGAAGGAATGGTGCCAGGTTATTTATGAGGAATGAGTTCTCTCATTTATAATTCCAGGATTTTAAAAAGTAAGAAGTTTTCCAGGGTTGTATGCAATCCATATCTGTCTTGTGGGAGTCAATAAAATACTGCTTGGCTTCCTTCACTTGTTTGCTCCTTTTTGTGCAGTTAACTTGTGGAAAATTGTGAGGGAAGTCCTCAGTCCCCTCAAGGATGAGCTGTCACACTGCCCCAGCCTCTGCTTTGCCCTTGGCTGTTCCACTCAACACCATGGGCTGGGTGTGATTGCTGATGCTCCTGTATTCCTCGTAAGTCACCATCACTGGACATGTGTGAAGAGCAATGTATGTCATTTCAAGCAATTGTGAAAAATAAGACAACTCTGCTTCCAGCAACTGCTGAATTTTTTGGCTGACCTTTCTGTTCTGTTGATTTCCTGTGCATTTTGGAAGGCTGATTTCCTTGTGAGAAGCCTCACTGCGCTGCATGGGAAGGGTGTACGGGAGCTGGCCTGAGCAGCAGTCTGCAGTGCCACTCCATGAGCTGCTTTGGTTCTCTTATTTATATGTTTTTGCTCCTGTGTTTGCCTCAGGACCTTCAAAGGATTTACATGAAGAGGAACAACTTCAATGCCAGTGAGTACTTGAAAGCTAATCTAAGGTGTTTTTCTTCACGTGACAGCCTAGTGATAATAAAGTTTGTCAGTAAAACAAGATTTAGAAGTTTGATACGTATTTATTCTACGGTATCATTTCAAGAAATTTGACCAACTCAACTTCCTTTCTACTCCCTGCTGCTCCGTGCTGGAGAGCCCTCTGGGCAAGATGCAGGGAGCACGGGCCAAATGAAATAGCTGCTCAGATGCTGGTGTTTCCTGGCGAAGTCCCTTTCCTGGAGAAGTCCCAGCTCAGCAGGTTCCCAATAGATCTGATGGTTTCAGGATGCACTGGTTTTGTTGCAGTTTCTTTACAGCAACAAACAGTCCAGAGTATTTGCAAATTGACCACCAGGGAAGAAGGTTGCAAGAGTCTCTGTGGCAGACAGGCTGGGCATTATCGCTGCATGTTGTATGGTATTTTACCATAGGCAGGTGTTCTGATCCCCCTGACATGCAACTGGATAAAAATAAAGGCCTGGTTTTCCTTAGAATATCCATTAGATGAAATGAGGCTGTAGATCAATCTGTGCATGCATTTTTGCAGGATTGAGGGAAAGCTGGTTGGTTAGATTTTAAGAAATGTATGAGCATTGTACTGTCAACAAGAAATGAGCCCATGAAATCTTGATGTTTGAAGATAATCTGCACCCTGGTGTTACTGTGTTGCTACAGTTTGCATTGCTTTTCTCATCTCATTGGGTTTTAAAGCTTTTATTAAACTTAAAAAGATGAGAGTGTTTGTTCTTGAAATGGAAATGTGTTTTCCTGAGCAGAGCATCTCTGAAGCCCAGGAATGGCACTTTGAAAAAGCAAATTCTTCAAAGTGTGAGTCACAAGCAAGCAAAACAGGGCCACAAGTAGGCTAATGGAAATACCTAGGATGGAGCTGGGTCCCAATGATCCTTCTTTATGAGATATATCAAGAGGATCTGAGCAAATGTTTAATGACTGTGAAATTCCCTTTTGGGATGTAATTGAGGAATTTCTACTGATAAAGCATTTTCTTTCTTTTTTTTTTTTTTTTAATTTTTTTTTTTTTTAAAATAATTTTTTTTATTTTTTTTTTTTTTTTTTTTTTTTTTTTTTTCCCAACAGTAGTGCAAAAGGAATAATTCTTAGACTAGAATTGTGCTGTTCTTGGAGTTGTGAAATAAAAATGCTAAAATAAGCTTATCTGGAGTCGGAAGTTCAATAGTGCCATGCCTGAAAAAGTTGAAGCTTGAGGTAATTCTTAAATTATTTTTTAAAGAAAGTGAGGATTATTTAAAAAACAAACTTATGAAATCACACACAAAGGAAAAAAACAACCAAACAACCAAACAAAAAAACCAACCAACCCAGACTCCCATCTTATTTCATCGGAATTCACATGCCAAGCATTAACCCTTGGCAGCTGGCTTTGTCGTTGATTGCTTCCCAGAATGTGCTTCTTAATAGTATTTTGTTTGGGTGGTTGTAGGTGGTGATGTCAGTTCTCAGATTTGTTAAACTTCACACTTGGGTCAACACAAACAAGTTTTGCAGGTCATCCTGGCTCACCAGCACTCCCTGTACTGTGGTACCATTCCTTTTGACCCCTTCGTTCACTCCCTTTATCAACCTGATGATGATTTGCGTGTGACTCCATGGTATATCCAACTGCCTAACAGACTGGGAAATGAACTTACGGACCTATCTACTATCCATTAAATGTGGTCACAGAAGAAACCCATCATCAAGCCCTTTGCAACATGATGTAGTATCATGGAGTCATTAATTGTTACACCAGTCCATGAGTTCCATTCTACACATGGTTGATGGAAAGCGTCTAAGCTTTGATAAGAGGTGTGTATGTGCTGGGGTTGCCCCTCTTGTAGTTTATATTGTGGGCTATCCTATACACACTGCTCTCTGAAAATTCTGTAGACTGTATCAATATGTGAACTGGCCAAATCAGTTTTTATTCTGAACCATTTGGACTGCTTTGGAGATGGTCAAGTGGAAAATTCTATTCGTATTTAACCTTAGAGCAATGTGCAGAGTTGCAGTGTGGTACAGTAATCTGTAAAAACTCTGCCCAAATTGAGTGTTAGTTCAGTTCAGAGATGACCGCTGGACAGAGAATCTCTATGATATGAGAGAACATATTTGCTCTAGATATGGTCTGGGCAAAACATCAAAAGGCCTTTGAAAACACTACCTAGCAAGTCCACATGTTGTCAAATTAGACAAGACATGCTTTTGAAGAGTTAAACTCACAAGAGCCGCAAGTACTGAAAGTGGCATTGCAACAGCAGTTACTGCTTGATGTGCTGTTACTCAAGACTTAGCAGAGTGCACGTGGCATGTTAGATCTAACCAGAGGGTAATGTATTACTGCTCATAATGCCACAACCTCCATAGAAGAAGCTTAAGACAAAAGAGATAACAGAGCAAATATCTGAATTGTTCCACTCTCTGCTGATATAAGTTGGTTTGTTTACCAATAGGATTAGTACATTAGTTTAAGAACCTGTATACTAGTTTAGCAAAAGGAATCCACAAGTGATAGTTCTGAAACCTTTACATTTCAGCTTGAGTGGGCTAATATCTTGTTTTCCTCAATAATTTTGTGCTGGGGACATAATAGAATAATATATCTTTTGCCTCAATCGGTGCAAGGACATTTCACTCGGGCTCCACATGCACTGTTGTTGAAAAGTGGCTCACTGTGTCCTAAAAATCAATGGGAATCTTCCAAATGGGGAAAGTGGATGGCAGTGGGTCAGAAGTTCCATAGTAAAGCTGATAGTGGGAAACGGGAAATAATAGGTGGGCAGTCGACCACCCTAGGTAACACCGGGCATCCAAAGGCACATTAGCACATATCTGAGTCCTTGAAAAAGAATGGATTTGTATGCCAACGAACTGCATATGCATGTCAGAACTGTTCAAATGTAGATCCTGAACTCTGAGAGGGTGCGCTTGCTTGTCGCTTGCTTGTCATGTCACCTGGTGCATGTTGTAAGGAATAAAGGTGTGGCACTTTCTGCACCACAGTGGAGTTAGTTCTGTCAGCACAGGGACTGGTCCCACTGAGACTAGGGAAGGGACTGGAGCTTTGCTGCTGCGATGCTGCATGACTCCCTGGGAACGGCAGCAAATCCCAAAACAATGGGTCTTGCAGATGTCAGGGTAACCCCTCTGAGCTGAAGGAACACAAAACCAGACATGTCCCAAAAAGCAGAATCCAAGTTTAAGGTAAATCTGAAATCAGAATTGGTAAAGACTGTGCAGCCTTTGGCACAGCTCAGCGGGCCTGGGGAATGCCATTTGCAGCTGGCTGAGGTGTTTCCTGATGGGTTCAGCAGATGAGCCCACAGAGGTCTCTCATAGAGGTGGTTCTGCAGAGTCTCCTTGAGCTGAGTAGGTTTCTGTATCGTTTGTGAAAGCTTTTGCTTTTTAGAAATATGTGTGAGCAGCAGCCAGTTCTGAGGTACCTCTGTTGGTATGGACACGGACCTGATCTGAGGCAAGTGGGGGTCTGCTATAAAACCGATCTCAGTATCACAGCAGAATGCCTGCTCCAGGTAGTTTACTGAAAGAGAGTAGAAAACAAGCAATACAATTTCTACAGTCACAGTTCTGATAAGCAATATGTGAATATTTATCCTCAGAATTACTTAAATATATACCACCAAAAAAAAGTCAAATGGCTGAAATGATGATGAATGTTTCTAACCTTAAAGACATCCTCTGCCTCATCTTCTTCCTTAAAAAACAGTTGGGAGTGGACAAAAAGGCCAGCTACAACTTGCACACCAAAGAAAACACAAAACCTTTCCAGTATCTTCCTTAAGAGTGAAAAGAAGTTGGAAACTGGATAGTTTCAGACCATGTAGGCTTCAACATCTGGGAAGCCTCTGTTGAGGGAGTAAAGGGTCATTCATCTGAATAAGAGCCATGACTTTCAGGACAGCAGCTACTGCCATTCCTTTCCATCCAAAGCTGTAGTTTAACTTTTGCAGCATGTATTTCATGCAGCCGTCCATTCGTTCTGCAGTGCACTAAACGATGCAAAGATACTAGGTCAAGGGAAACAATCAAATCTTCTTAATCTCCTGATGTGAAATCTTTCTCAGTATCTTGGAATAGTACTGATCACCTGGTAAAGTACAAAGGAAAAAAGTTTATCCAGTGGCAAAAGTTTAATTACAGTGCCATCTGCTGAGACTGACATCTCGAGGGAAGCAGGATATATGCTGAAGCCCAATGTGCTATTCCACCCCTGGTTTTCTCAGACATACCCATGAACACCACACATCTATGTGATCTATCTGTCCATGGATCTATAACGGCAGAAGTAGAACTTTATAGCTAACTATACCAGAAAAGAAATGCTTGGCACTGCAGCTGACCAGCCTTTCAAGGGAAGGAATCTACCAGCTTAAAGAGGACAGTGATATTCTAGAACCAGTTGAAATGTGCTACTTTTTTCACTTGACAGAAGAGGAAATGCTGTACCATTATACGCACTAAAGATCTTGGCTACTGCTGTAGCACCTGCTTGAAACAATTACCATCATCTGTGTTCTCCTTTATCACTTTGGCCATCTCTCTGATTAAAATAAATTGTATTACAATGGCCACAGAAATTACAACATGAAATGAATAATAGCAAGGTTCGTATTTGTTTCAGTGCATTTGGCTGTACAAGGAAGTATCATGCAAGTGAAACTCCCTTCACTAGGAAAGCATCACGGACACTATGGTATCATGGAACTGCTGGACTTTGTCCAGGTACACGCCTGGAAAAAAAATACAGATGAGAGAAACTAAAAGGAAAAACTAAAAGGGATCAAAAAAATCACAGAATCATAGAATCATAATGAAAAGATTCAGTAAAACCCAGAGCTTACCTGGTGTCTCTATTGTAAGCACAACCATAGTTGACAGAAACCTCATAGGCATAAAGGGACTTGTGAAGAAGAGTGCTGATTTTGATTCACTCTCTGCACAGCGGCTGGAAGAACTGTGCACATCTCCATTATTCCTTATGCCTGTGAAAATATCTTCAGCAAGTCTCATAATCATTTCTGCCATTGTTGGGTCCTGAATCAAACAGTGCGCATGTTGAGTGTAAACATGAAAGCACACGAAGCTCCCATCTACTCTGTTCCCCTAAGGATTACGTGTGAAATACCAAATTGTTCGATCGTGTGTCACAACAGAATCTGCACAGAAGATACTGCTTGCATTACAAAAGCAACTGAGTGCCATCAGCACAGGGCCTTTTCAACACTAACTGCACAAAGAGACTAGGGAAAGAGGGCCCGTGATATGCTGACTTTATTTGAGCTGCCCCTGCTTGCAGAGGAAACCCCATTTCAATCAGTGCTACCTACGCTGCCCTGTGCAGATGCCTGAAGTCACGAGCTGCAAAAGCGTTTGCAGATCCAAACATGAATGTTCAGAACGCCATTCAGGAAAGGTACAGTAATTCAAATTTTCATCACAAACTGTGCAGAAATATTACTTCAGAGTCAAACTTTACACTGTGATCATTTAAAATAGCTTCTCCTTGTCAAGAAAAACTATGAATTCAGTGGGACATTAAGCAGAGGACAAAGCCAAAGTTCCCATGCTGCTCTGCCACACTTTGCCATCAATTTCAGCTAATCTCGCACATGAAGTGAACAAAAATGTGTTTCCTTTCCTAACTGCCAACTCTGCTAAGCACATTTATAAAAATGTATTTCCTGAGATGCTTAGACACTACTGCAACAGCGATTGCATATGTACGTAAAAATATGTTTTCATAGACTGTGCAAAAAAAAAAAAAGATCTCAGAAAGTTCCATTTATGAGAAGTTTTTTTTGCCATACTTTTCCATTTCTCTGTTACAAATTGATGTTTAGCAAAGACAGCCAGCTTTCTATTATACATACACCCTGAAAATGTCCACTTTCTATGTGTACTTAAAATACAAAATGCCTGACTATCTGCAGAGAATTTACCTTAGTATCATAGTCCAGCTGCCTTACAAACCAGTGTATCAGTCTCATCAGGGGCATGTGTAGTTTAGGATTCACAAACGACATGCACTGGAGCTGCTCTGCAGCCACAGGCAGAAGCTGTAAAAACACACAAAGGCGAAGTTACATGCAGAATGTCAGCTTAGCATGTGAGCAGTCTACAAGTGAAAACAAGACTCCAAAAACCAAACCCAAACAAACCAAACCCAGATCTCAAATTACTCCTGAAGTTTGTCAGATTGCATGTGCAAACACTCACTGGTCAGGTCCTCTAGAGATAAAAGAATTACCTCCTTACTTAGATTTTAAGTTTTACTCAGGTTTGCATGCAAAGCAGAGGTACGGTGTGTGAACTCAACTATCAAGGCCAATGCCAGTACCTACAAACTCTGCACAGAATGAAGGAAAGCAATAAAGAACTCCTGAATACCACATTGGTTTCCAAGCCTTGTTATCCCCAGAGAGATGGAAGGAAGGGCTTTCAGTAGAACATAGCATCATCTGTTATGAGTCATTATCTGAAACTTTGACATCCAACGTAGACATTAAAACATTTTTAATTAGGTGTGAGAATCTCTGTAGGAAAACATGAATTCTATACAGTGTTACACACAACATACAAGATAAATCACCAGCTGGCATAAACCACAGGTAATAAAAGACAGGCTGAAACTTGCAAGTTGAGACTGAACACGACACTTCTCCTTCAAAACGACAGCTCTGTTTTATAAGTGACAATGCAGCCATTCCATCTGACTGCTGGGATTAATACTGACTTAATAACTGTCATTCTGCTTTCATTGCTCTCTCCCAGGTCTATACAAAACAGGCTGACCTTTTCTACTCTCACAATAAAATCAGTCAGTATATACGTGAATCTGAAAACACATGAACCAGATCAAACTCAAGTCCCTTTACCTTCAAACACTTTCCTGGATGTAGGTTCTTCCGCTACACTGAGGTTTCTGGCCTTCCTCTCTTCTTGTTTCTTGAGTTTGCTAAGGAGCTCATCTAAGATCCAATCCATAAGGACAGTCAGGAGCCCATAAACTTCAGAGTTCAGTGGTAGCTGTAATATATTCACATCATCAGTTATTTCAGCTTTCACCTTGATGATCTTCTAAACCAAAACAGTAGCAGACAGACATGCATGCCAGAGCACATTAGTTCTGACAAATCCTGCATCATTTAATGGTTAGTGAGACAAAGCTCAGGACAAAGTTACCGAGAGCCCATAGAAGACATTATCTCTGCAGAAACAGTAATGTGGAACAGGCCGTGCCTGCTCTGCTGGGCCTTGTATCCAGGGATTGAGAAGCCCCCGCTGGCTATTGGAGAAATACAGGCAGCTCCTTGTTAAAAGGAGTCTGCAGACAGCTCCCACTGGTGCGGGTGACCATGCTACAACCTGCACGGACATGTCTTTGTGCCAAGGGCAGCAGAGAGTTCTCCTGTGAACTTGTTTAGTTAGTAGAGATCTTCTCTCGTAAGCAAACTAGACAGCAGCATGGATAACCACAAAGGAGGAGTATAAGCAGAGTCTAATTTTGACAGATGAGAGAGAAGGTGAGAGGAAAACACAGGAAACAAATAAAAAGTAGATACACAATATAAAATTCCAAGGACAATTTTAGCAACAATCTTTATTCTTTCCATTTACTATCTGCCCTCCTCTATTCTTTCTGTAACTGTTGCAAACCTCCACACAATCCCAGCCCAGCTCACAACACCTTAGCCCACGTACCACCCGCACCGAGTACCGCCCACAGTAACTAATTAACTATTAGAACGAAAAAAAGTAGCAGCTACGTTTTCTTATTTCAACAGCTGTATGGAGAAGGCTCCACTATTGAATGGCTTTTGTGAGTGATTTTTTCACCTTGCCCAATTCTTACCTTATTCCCTTTTGATGCTGCCCTCACTTCTTCCTGCATGAAAGGTGTCATCTGTTGTGCCACTTCACAGGTATCCTTATACATCTCTGCCATTATAAACTGATGTTTCCACTACAACAAAAAAGAACCATGAATTCTATTTTACTTGTTACCTACAAAGGAAGCACGCAAAATAAGAAAAAACCTTACTTCCAGATAGCTGAAACAAACTTCTCCTGTCCTTTTTTTTTGTTCATTCAATTACTTCTTCTCTACAATCTCATCATATAACTGAAAAAATTGAAAAATACTAAAATATCAGTGAATGGAAAACACTTTTTTTTTTTTTTTTTTGTAAACAACACTCTGAAATCAGAGTTACTGAGCAGCAAAGTGATTTAATAAACAACTGCTCTTCTCTTTTCATAAAGAAGTGACGAAAAAGAACACACTCCAAAAATGCCTAAAGAATTCAGAAACAGAGAAGGTGAGAGTATTTATACGCAATCACACCATCCCTGTATTGGAGAAACCAAATCATCAATTTTTGCAAACATCCTGTTCAGATAATTAGCAGTGTTAACTCAGTATACAGTACTCAGTACACAGTTAACTCAGACACAGTAACTGATTGTACAAAATAATTCCTCTTGCCTGTTTTCTTAAGGATTCGCTTGCTTCTTTGAGGTCGTCCCTACATGTTGTCATCTCCCTCAGTGACGTTTCAAGCTTATTCACTTCTGCATCCTCCTATAGAAATATCACGGTTCAAACATGATTAACTGAAGTATTTTATAAACAACTAAAAGCCAAATGGAATTTCAGTATTAAAACAATCCAATAAACTTTTTCACTTAATCTCGATTTTGCTCTGCAGATGGGTCTTTGTTTTTACCTATGGTGTGACACTACAGCTGACTAAAGTGACTGATATACTCTTGAAGTAGTATCATTCCATAAAATATACTGTTTTTCTTTAAAATCTCTCTCTGAAATCTATTAATCCACACATACATGGTAGGAGGAATTTTACTAGCCAAAGCCTTTTCTAGGTTTGGGTACAGCTGTAACTCCTTTCTCTTCCTGAGAAATATAAGATCTGTGCCTCACTTACAGTGTTAGAAAAGACCTGAGGCACAGTGAAAGGAGTCAGTGTTTGCTGCATGTTTTATTCATCACAAAGTGAAAATATTCTTGTCGTAGAGGTTTGAGAATAATTCTCTGAATTTAGTGACAAAAACTTTTGTAAAGACTTAATTCTTATTTTCATGTTTTGAATTTTAACTGCTGTCTGAGTGTCTTCAGCACTGCTGCCAGTGTCCCAGGCAGATGCAGAAGGAACCTGCAGATGTTGTGCTGTATTTTTCTCCCCAGGAGTTGGTTGAGGATCCAAAGTAGCAGCGCCTTTACTTCCCAATTCAGTCTCACCTGTGATGCCTACAGCAAAGAAAAAAAAATTGTGGAAAACAGATTAAGAGGTAGCTGAATGTGGAGACAATTTTTGGCACCTACATTGTAAATTATCCTAATGATACCCATAACACCTTAAAGTCAGGCTAGAACTTTTCAAATAGCACCATCATTTAAGAGTGGCACAGGAACTGCATATTCATAAGGCTTGGTTTTCTGTTGCTGTCAGGGAACTTCCATGCAGTGGTGAACATTTCAGTCTTGTAGTAGTCAGTACTACTAGCTTCCTTTGACATTTACTTCCATTTCTGATAGCTGAATATATGCCAACTCTTTCAGAAACATCAGTCTACAAAAAGTAGTAAGAAAAATGGACTTGCAACTTAGGAGTTTCAATTTAATTCAACACTATATAAAAAACAGTACACACCATTCTAGCCGTGGAGAAGTGCTAGATTCAAAGAAGTAGCTCAGGTCACAGAATCATTTATGCACAGATAGTTATGCTCTAATTATGTGAAGAGGAAGTAATTCTACAATTATTGAAAGGGTGCTGACATTTCTGGTGCACTGGTATGGATTCTTGAAACAGGAAGTAGGCTTTAATCACACTATATTTTCAAAGCCCTTCTAACTTCCTGTTAGAACTGAGCAATGGAGGAGAATTCTATATTCATTCAACCTCCCTTTACATTTCGAGATAATCAGCATGACTTGTCTCATAATTGTTTACAGTATGCTGACATCCAGTTCCAATCAAAGAGATCTGTATCTGTATTTTCACAAATTCTCTTTTCCATACAAAATTTGTTGTTTTTGTTTTGTCACAGCCAATTTTCCTTTCTCTTAACAAAACGGAATTTGCAGGACCAGTGGTGCTTGTCATTGATTCTCCCTCATCTGATCTGCTTCTTGCTATTGAGTTGGTTCTCCCAGGAGTTCTGTTCTGCCACAAGCAAATGACAAAGGATCAAAAGTTCAAAAGGATTTGAACTGGAAGAACAGATCCTGTACTGAAGTTAAATAAAGAAATCTTTCTAATTTTTCTGTTCAAGAACACTGCCAGTGTTTGCATATTTAACTGTTATAGTGGAATTTCAAGGTCTCAGCCTGAACCAGTGGGTGAGCTTCACGAGTACATGAGTGTCTGGAGTGAGCCACCCCTCTGTCTGCATGATATTTCAGGTCCCATCTGAGTCTGCACAGGTCCCCATTCCCCCTGCCATTCTCTGCTGCAGCCCAATGGTACGAACGAGATAGGGTCACATTCCTATGCTCACCCTTTTCTCTAAACTGTTACCAGGAGGGGTGAGTTAATTCCTCTTGGATATCTTTTCCTATGGCACCTATTTCTCAAATAAAGGCTCTGTCATTACTTTCCTTTGCTCTACAACTGGTTGAGACTTTGACTGTAGTTCAGAATACACAGGATTCAAAGTTAAAGCTAGAGGTTATCTTATGTGCAAAAACTGGGACACAGGTGGGCAGCACATTTACTATATGTAGGACAGACTTCTCATGCTTTTTTCCCCTTGCAAAAGATAATTTTTTTTTTTTTTTTTTTTTTTTCCCCCCACTAGTTTATCCTCTGGGAAGTTCTTTTCATGTTTTAGATGAGTTCCCACGTGGTACATACAAAGTTCTATTCCCTTTGGCCAGTAATTAGATACACACTGTAAACTGCTTTTCTACAGTATATGTAAAACAAAACAAAACATGCACAGTTTCCATAGTTTACAACAATATTTGATCATTCTAAGATCAGGGTTTTTAAGATCAGGGTTTTCTTATTGTCCTTTATTAACCTAGAGCATGGTTGTCCAACATTTTGGCTTAGCTGGGCTGCACAGAGTAACGGGAATTGTCATGGGCTGCATATAAAATCTATAATAAAATGCATGCTTTACATATTTTTGTAAAAACATGGGAACAACAAAAACTAGTGGGATGTTAGACCTTGCTTTTGTGAAATTGATACATCAGGTTTGTTCAGTAGCAGCGGCTGCCACTCCTAGCGAGTTTTCAAGGTGTTCACCAGCAATTTTTGATGAAATATTTCTCTTCCGGTGCTTCACCTTTGAGAATAATTTTTCACAAATGTACATATGTACAATCAATGAAAGTACAGATGCTATAGCTATGAAATGTACTAAAGGGCTTGGCTATGCAGTTATTACACCAAAGCAGAAAAGATAGAAGTCTTACCGACATCCTGGGCTTGCTTACAAAACTCCAGTGGAATGGATCTCCAGAAGAGATCTTTCCCCACTGGCAGTCAGCTCTTAAATGGGCCTCAGAGAGGTGGAGCCAGGCTCCATCCCTTCCGGCAGCACAGCTGAATTGCCTTCACCTGTGTTCCCGTGGCTGACTCATTGCTCACCTCAGATGATCAACCAGAGGTTCAGGCCGTGATTCAGCAGTTCCCATACAATGTACAACCAAAAAAGTGATATGAAACACAACTTTTCTGGGCAGCCTGTTCCAGCAGCTCACCACTCTCTCAGTGAAATAGTTCCCTGACATCTAATATGAACCTCCCTTCTTTTAGTTTAAAACGGTTCCCCATTGCTCTATCGCTGTTCATCCATGTGAAATTTGAATTCCACTCCTGCTAATAAGCTCCATTTGAGTATTGGAAGGCCACAACAACGAAGTCTGCCCTCAGCCTTTTCTTCTCTGGGTTGAACAAGCCAAGGTCCCTCAGCCTTTCTTTGTAGGAGTGGTGCTCCATCCCTCTGATTGCCTTCCTGGCCCTCCTCTGGACCCATTTCAAAAGCTCTACATCTTCTCTTTGTGGAGGGTCTCAAGCCTGAAGACAATACTCCAGATGGGACCTCACAAGGACAAAATGGGGGGAACAATCACCTTCCTTGCACTGCTGGCCATCTCTCCTTTGATGCAGCCCAGGATACTGTTGGCCTTCCAGGCCTTAAGTACGAATTGCTGGCTCAGGTTATCTTTTCCATCGACCAGGACCCCTAAGTCCTTCTCAGTAGGGTTGCTCTCAAGGAGTTCTCCCAGTCTGTATGTGCGTCTGGGACAGCAACAGACCAAGTGCAACACTTCGCACTTGATCTTGCTGAACATCATTACTTTCTTGTGGGAAAAATTTTCAAGCCTGTTCAAATCCTTCCAGGTGGCATCCCTTTCTTCTGTTATATCACCTGTACCACTTAACTTGATGTTGTCTGCAAACTTGCTGAGGGTGCACTTGATCCCATCGTCTATGTCTATTAATAAAGTTGTTAAAGAGCACTACTCCCAAGAGATACTACTGGAAGTCGCTACTCCTCACCAGCCTCCACCTGTTGACCACAACCCACAGGCTGTGACTTTTGAATCAATTCCTTATCCACCAAATAGTTCACCCTTTGAATCCAGTGTAGAGATAAGGTTGTGAAATGAGACCACATCAAAGGCCTTGCAGATGTTCAGATCAGACAACCCTTTGCTGACTTGTTTGAACTCAATCATTTTATCACTTCATAGTTATGCTGTGTATTGCTGCAGTTGTTGAAAAAAAGGACTGATTACTAAGGAATACTCCAAAATAT